TAATTATTTTTTTAATTAATTGAGCCAAAACCAAAATGCATTAGGTTGTGCCCCGCTCTCCCCTATCATAAAACAGACACCGTAGATTGAAACTAAATCCTTAGAACTCAAAAGATGTATAATTTGTTAACATTCTTAATATGTTTAGACAGTATAGTCTACATATTAAATGTTTACCATGGTAAACGAAGTGACGTCAAGCCTGAGGTCAGGTCAGTATGTCTCAAGAGGTTAAGAAATCCATTGTTTATTCTGCTCTGTGCTGCAAGTTTTTTTGTAGACCAAAAAAATACATTTAGACACCACAAAAACTTGTGGTCTTGCTCATTTTGTCAATATATCTGCCATTTTTCTTATGTATACACTCACAAACACAAATACCAGCAATGTGCAACAGTACAGTTCATGACGCCTGTGGAGCGCCCACTGTTTACCCTCTGGGTTTGGGACAGGAGTGCTGTGAGCGTGCATATGTGTATGTGCGAGCATCCATGTGCAAGAGTGGAGAGAAGGTGATAAGTGTAAAAAATAAAGAGGGGATTTTGCATATGAACACCTCAGGCGATGAAAGCAAGGACAAGAAAAGCCAGTGCACAGAGAAGAGGGACACCAACAGACTCAAAGCAATCAACATAAAATGAACAACAGAATACTGCACCATATTCAGTAGGCCTCATCATAAACCCAAAAGACTAAAACTCCCACTGATTAAAGCTGCAGGTCATTAAACAACTCTAATCTAATAAAGTGAAATGATGGCAACTTTGCAAAAAAAATCAATCTTAATTATATAAAATTACTCTTCCTGGGCTGCTGATGAGAAAATGTGTTTTGACCACAGATAATAGATGACATAAGTCTAAAATGATTAAAATAACCCAAATAAAGAGAGACAAATAAGTAAACAGAGGAAAAAGAAAGCAAACAAGAGCAATGAAAAAAATAAAGCAAGAAAAAAACTAAAACAAACAAGGAATGTGCATAAGAGACGGAGACACTGATATGTTGTTGTTCAGTTTAAGCTGCTGTAAACTCACAATTTAATTTGCTCTGGTTTGGCACTGTGCATTATGTGTCCCCATCCAATCAAGTCTTCGAGGAGGACATGAAAAGGGAGCGGAAATGAGTGAATGAAAAGGGGTTCAGAAGAGAGGAGAAATGAGAGAGAGTGGAAAAATAGAGATACAACTGTGGCATTACACAGCAGAATAAATCTTTGCCAGTTATATAACATATTTGTCATTGAGGACATTTGGTTTTAAAAAGGTCATATCATTGATCTTTTCCTTGATTTTAATACATCCTTCAATGTATTCTTCCATCTCTATCCATCCATCTATCCATCATTTCATTCATCAATTCATCCATCCAGCTATCTATCCACCCATCCAAACATTTATCTATCTATCCATCCATCCATCCATCCATCCATCCAACCATCCATCTATCTATCTATCTATCTATCTATCTATCTATCTATCTATCTATCTATCTATCTATCTATCTATCTATCTATCTATCTATCTATCTATCTATCTATCTATCTATCCTTTCAACTATCTATCCACCTATCAAACCATCTATCCATCTAATCTATCCGTCTAATAAATCCAACTATCTACAGTATTTATACATGATGAGTTCAAGCATTTAAAAAACAGAATGAAACCGAACGCAGGTGTCCCGATATACCATTTAAAATGTTAACTTGACAGGGTATCTTACTGTAAAAGTCCAGCACTCATGGGAGGAGACACACACACACACACAAAAGATGCATCACAACATTCAAAAACACTCACTTAGTGCATGTACAGTATAACAACTATAACTGTGCAGATTGATGCAAGTGAGCATCTTTTCTGAATGGGCCCTAACTCAGCGATTTGATCGATCAGAAAATCTCTGTCAGGACACTTTAAGAACCAAAAAGGCTGAACGAGGGAGGAGTCTTGCCACAAGTATGTGTGTGTGTGTGTGTGTGTGTGTGTGTGTGTGGAAAAACGAGCAATTAAGGGATGACATCATTGTTAGTGATCACTTCCAAGGCTGTATCTGCAGAAAAGAGGAGAAAGAGCTGGACAGGACAAATGACATGGATGGATTATACAGGTAGAGTGAGCGTAAACAAAACTAGAGCGGCAATCTTGCAGAAAGGTGAGGACATTTCCAATAAGACTGCTGAAATGTCACATCTTAACTCTTCAAGAGTGAATGATAATGGTTTTGTTAATAGTTAATGTAAAGGTGAATGTGCATGCGATGCATTATACACGCCAAACATACCATATAAAATGAATATGCACAAAAGATTACATATCTGAGGTCTTTAAACGGCCTGAATTTACAAACACAGAAAAAACAACAACATCATTTACAATGAAAAACTATTATAAAACCACCCGCAGTACAAAGTGTTCCCTGGGGGCACTGAACCGTCTCCCCTCAGAAATCTTTACAACTTTAGGACGTATTAATCAAGACAATCGCTAAAAGACTCCAATAAAACAAAGGGTGTGGGAGAGCTCAAGCGGCAGAAGCCCCTTCTGCCCGAGCTGGCTATAAAACGCTGGACTCTAATAGGTTATTGACTATTGCATATAAGGCAGGATGACATCACTGCCAGCCAATGGGAGAGTAGGAAGTGAGGAAGATGAGAGCAGTGTTTTTAATTTGTGCTTTGCTGAGCTCAGCTTCTCTCACGCAAGAAAAAGACAAGAAATGCGACCATGATGAATGTCGAAATTAATAAACGGAAGGGAATATAGGCTTTTGGCATGTTGTCGAGTGGGCACGGGTCAGCCGCGCTCTCCGTGTGCCTGTCACTGTATCCAGGGAGACTGGAGCTGAAACCAGTTTTCTTTCCCCTTCAACTGTGTGTGTATGTGTGTGCTTTTGCTGTACACCAAATGCATATTCACGCACACATGCAAACGTTCGTCAATCCTCCCTGACCATTAGTTTGAATTTACTGTATATGCACTTGTCGATCTTCGATGCACCTCATTCCTCTCTCTGCTCCTCTCCACCTCCTACATGAAAGCTTTACTTTCTCGTTCTTTCTCGTTTCTCTAAAACATGTATCCGCATGGCTAAAACGGCTTGCCATCTCCATGACAACACTCTGTTGATCCACAAATCACAGGTTGGTTAGCACAAGCTCTAGCTGGGTGACGTAATGTTGTCTCTGGTCTTCTGTGGCCACTGGACTTCACCACTTCTTGGCTGGGCTTTTAAATGGCAACCATGGTGCGTATCTGCCAAAACACTTATGAGAGTGTATGCAATGGTGTGAGTATTTCCACACTGAGCAACTAACCCGTTATATAATTACAGGAAATGGGCGATGGATACATTTTGTAACGTTTCACGGTTGGCTTGATGGTGTTCATTCCAGCGAAAGGTTAAGTCTATGGTTAGATGTGAATGGAAATATTTACAAAACCAAGGTTAGTTAAAAAAAGTGCATATAATAAACATATCCCATACACCTCAAACAAATACATGAAACATACAGTATACAGTCAGAGCCAAAAGTGAGAGATCCTCATGTGAAAAAGCTTTCATAGTTTTCATTTTTCATTATGGATTAATACATCAGCAAAACATTATGAGTTTAAAGTAAAAAAAAAAAAATATATATATATATATATATATATATATGAATTTAATTTCTATTTATGATGTCTTCCTCCCAAGGTGACAGTGGTACTCAAGCTGACGTGAATTGTAGATGTTTAATGTGGTCACAGACTTTCAAAGCCCACTGTACATAACTTGGATGGATGAGTGTTTTGTAAAAGTTGAATAAACCAAGGGTTGTAGGTGGGTCATGTAACATGACAATGAGCAATGAGTAAACCTGTATGTTGATAAGTGACTGTACTTGAAGTACATTCTCAAATTTACTGAAGCAGTTTTAAAGGACAAAAACTCAAATGCTGAAGGTCAAGATATAAAAAAGGCTAAGATTTCTTACACCACTGTAAACAGGCATCACCACATTGTCAGAGCACATTCATGTCAACCAGTCACGACCTGACAACATCCACCCTACCCTCCCTTTACATATAGTTCCTCGGTTCATGAGAGTGCTTATGTGTCAGACATATTTTAGAAGCTGTGGAGCAACTTGTCAAAGATCCTTTGTGGAAGTGTGCAGATACTCCAAACAACCTGACATGAACATACCCTGGTCATGATAGTGCACATGTGACATTGTCAAAAATTTCCCAATACATGTTCATACATGTGTTATGGAGTCAGGATGTGTGGTTTTGCTAGATCATGTCTGCACTTCAGAGGCATGTAACAGATTATGCTGCAAGCACAATCTCTAACAAAGTCTCTACTTGAAATAGAATAAAATTCTCAGTCTGAAACAACAATAGTATGTGATAAAAGGAGTTTTCTCCTATGGGAAATGCTCTGCATAATCATTTTAGTCAAGAGGAAGAGGTGTGTGTGTGTGTGTGTGTGTGTGTGTGTGTGAATATCCATGAATTTGCTTCATCTAATCCAATAGAAGTGCTGAGTTTTTTTTTTTTTTTTTTTTTTTTTTTGGAAGCAGCATCTTCCCAAAAAAAAGTACGGAGCCAGAGCACTCCCTTGTGGTGCTTAATAAGAACTTCAGCTAAACTTTTCAAACTTTAACAACAGTTGCCTGGATCTACACTGCTGAAGACAGGAAGGCACTGCATATGTTGCAGTTTTCTTTTCATGTTTTCACTTCATATTGTCTTTCTTCAATCTCCTTTTTTGAACACACACACACACACACACACACATGCCATAGAAAATTCTTGATTACATTTAAGTCTCACTTCATTTTAATTAAGCCTATCAAGATTTGACAAGTAATCAATTCAGGGAAACTGTTCAACTGAAAACTATAATGTTTGATTAATAACTAGACACATATTACATCAAATGGGACTGAACATCCTAGTGTAGATAATCTGAAATTAGAATGTACATAATAAACCACTTATGAACCTGACCTGTTTCCAAAGCCTGAAGTAACTCTGGTGGTCCAATGGAGGTCTGGCCAGACCGGTAAAGTGGCTCATTCTCCCAGTCTTGTAAAAAGGACGGAGGTCAAAGGTCAGTCTTATAATCGAATGCGTTATGTTAACAAAAACATAAATTAAACAGTAAATTCCCATTTAACATCATGGTATTATCACGGTACCCTACTACCATAACATACAGTATGCAACAAACTAATTGAAGAAGTGTTATTTTTGTGTAAAATAATAATTCATTCATGAAAGAGGAAATATATAATTACTCACTCAAAAATCATAACCCCCACCCCCCATGTTTAGGTGCTAGACTACTGTTGAACTCTATTTGAATAGTTAAATTAGATAGCTGAAGCAGAGAAGCAAACTCACCCAGTCTCTCTAGAGCCTCCGTCAGCCTGAGCACCACAGCTGGGGTCTGGTCAGGCAGAGCGCACTGCTCTACAACATCTCCCTTTCCACAGGGGCCTGTCAGAGGAGGAGGGAGAGGGAGAGAGACCATGATGAGACGCCGCACTGGTGAGACCAAATTCCCTGATTAGGTGGCTGCCTTTAAACCCACATCTCATCTCTCCTTAGGGAACAGCCAGGTTGTCATTCTCACTAGTAGATATGCAACATAACACTCAAGCCTCAACCTTTTACCATTTTAAGTTACATTAAAGTATACATTAACATCAGTTATTACATGATGAGCTCAATTGGACTAAAAATGAACAGTAAAATGGTTAAATAGGGACACCTTTAAAGGAATAGACCCACCATCATGTTGTCCCAAATCTGTATGCACTCATTAAACACAAATAAGATATTTTGAAGAAGAATAATGATAACAAAACATTTATGGTTCCCACTAACTTTCATTGTTTTTTTGTTTTGTTTTTTCCATACAATGGATGCTGATGGGAACTGAAAATGAATAGCTTCCAACATTCTTCAAAACATCTTCTGTTGTCTCCAACAGAAGAAAGTCATACAGGTTTGGAATGGTATGAGAGTAAATGATAACATAATTTTCATTTTTGGGTAGACCATCCCTTTAAATCCAGTAAAATATAAACATTTTGTCCCAAAGGATTTTTAAAATTCAGTATGACATGTCATCCAGCTGAATGAAATACTGCGTATAATGTATCATAAGCACTACTGTCTCTTCCAGTCTCCACTGTCCTTACACTGAACAGTGACCTTCTGCTAAGGTTACAGTTGTGGAGAGTGCCCATATATCTCTATATGTGTTCAGAAAACCACAGATAAAATCCTTGATGGGGTCAGATTTTTAGTTCTGCTGCCCACCTGCAGAGCACAGTGTAAATGATGCCAACCTTTACATGACACCCTGTCTATATTGTACTGGGACACTAAACCTGCCACACATCGCCAGAGTACGAGAATGGTCGGGAGTGGAACGGAGCCTGTTGTTGTTGTTTTACACTAGACTAGCATTTAAGACTATTAGCCATTACAATAAATGAAATATGGAATTTGTAAAATATTATTGACAAAATTATATTCAAATGCAACACTTTAAAATAATTTTCCACAGTAAATGCTTTAGGTAAAATTAGGTGAAAAGTTTTTTTTACAGCACATGTTAATCTAGGTTAATTTATTTATATACTGTTGTTTATTAATCATGTTGGTTCATAATAAATTAATATTCAGTTATGCAACTTAAACTGTTCAAAATGCATTAATGTATATAGATTTAGCCAATTAAAAAAATGCAGTAAAAGTATTGTTCTTTGTTAGACACTGCATTAACTAATTGAACCTTATTGTAAAGTGTTACCTATTCAAAAAGGTTAACAGGATGACAAAAGGATGACAAAAACAGAAGGTCAGGATGACAAAAAAAAAGAAAACAGTTTTGTTAACAGAAAATAACATATGATTCAGTGTTCCATTCACATATGCAAAAAAGTTTAAAGGTCATATCATAGCAATGCATCATTATAACTATGGAAATTACATATACATGACATGTTTTGTGCCCAGACATTCATGATAAAAAAATAAATAAATAAATAAATAAAAAAATCATCTTTGTCTGTTCTGTAATTGTTTCAGTTTCGTTTAAATCAACGTTTAGTTGATATAGTATTATTTCTTGTTTCCTTATGTTGTCATTATGCATGCCATGCCAGTAGTTGGCGATGTCACGTAAAGAAACACTATAATGTGTAATACGCATTCGCATGATGCTACTGTTTTTTAAATTTTTCTTTTTGTAGTTTACACAGTGACAATAGCATTATAGTTTTCAAAAACTTGCACTTTGAAACCTATTTTCAAAAAGTTTGCATTTTCAGACCTCCAAAACACCGTTGACATGTAAATGAATAGCCAAAACGCATTAAAGGTTTTCCGTTTTTAGTTGAAAATGGTGTCCTCTAGTTTGTTCAGCTCATTTTCTGGTGTTGACTGTGCTCTAGCACACTGCTGAATTGTTTCTTGTGTTGGATTATTTTCCTTTGGTTTTGTAAAATAAAGATAAGCTGCAAATTAGATCTGTTTCGCTTCACCTTGTTTTCTTCCTTATCCTGAAAGTTACAGCTATAATAGAGAACTCAGGGTGTGATTTCTTTCACCTGTGAGCAGGAAACTGAATTGACATATACCAACATAGTTGCCAACACATCAGTGTGTGTTTTAATAAAGCATGCAGCTGACAATTGGACAGATAATCTATCCATTTACATCGAATTTCCATTTGCGTAATAATGAGCGGGAATTCTGACGGAAGATGTTTTTGCTCCATTATGTGAATGATGCAGTGTAGTGCTGTTTGCAGACTCTTGTGAATTATCGTCAGTGACAACACTAATTAGAACTGATGTACCACCTGCTAATGTCTACACAGATACCCGTACTATTTTTAGTTTTTTTTTTTTTTTCTGTAATTAGAAAATGGATGTTTATTTAGCAGAATCTCACACACAAGCATCTGTTGACAGCAGGAAAAGTTTGTGTTCCCATGCATGGGTGTAATTGGTGCATTAATCTGCACAGCAGTGGCCCCTTGCTGTACCCCACTACAATTTTCGCTCAGGAGAATCACGCTACGAGGTGGCAATAGGTTTCTATGCTGAGCTGATTTAGGTTTTGTTTGTTAAAGCACCATGATTAAAGTTTATTTTAAGTGTCAATCAGATCGGAAACTTTAAATCTAACCAGAAGTATCAAGCATCTGCAGCAAAAGGAACTGATTAGACTCATCATTACTCTTGACCTATACCGTATGCAAGTTGCTGTGATCCTTTAGTAAGAATAGTTAAGGCTACAGGGACAGGAAAGAGGGAGATGATAGTGATAAAAAAATAAAAGAACAGAAAGATTAATGAGAAGTTCCTCTGAGGTTTTGATGCAGGTGGCACAAAGACTTCAGAGGCTCGAGATTACACACGTTAACGGCGGAGCGCATTGGTATTCCAACAACACCCGGTGCATTTAATTGCTCCACATCCTGCTGGTTTCTCTATGGACCTCGACAAGTGACGCCTTATGAATGAGCAAACAGGTCACAGCATGATGGGAGGAATCATAATTCTCTCTCTCTCTCTCTCTCTCTTGTTCCTTTTGTTTTAGAAGCCTAACATTCAGTTGGTAAGCTAGGATTTATAAGAAAGGAGATTAATGCGTAGCTGAGGATGTAGGAGTGATATTTTAAGTTAGATGGCTCGCTGATGAATTATAGTTGCAGGAAAATTATGTGAACCCTTTACCATGGATTTCTGTGGAAATTGGCCATACCAGTCTGCTTTAATAAGACACGATGATACATTTTTGTGTCTTTATTGAACGCAATGTGCAAACATTCGCAGTGGAGGGTGGAAAACGTGTGAAAATGTTATTATGTTTTTCTAATATTTGTTTGTTTTAATTTAAATGGGGAAACACTCAATTTCAGCCAATCACAAGTTAATCTTGAGTACCTATAGAGTAGTATTGCATCCATCCTTCATTTCTCCAAAACGTCTTTAGTTTGATTGTAGCCCTATTCGCACGGGACTAGTATTATCTGGGGTCCTCGTGTGATTTATAAATTACCCCGCCACATCTGAATTTCATGAGGCGCATTTGCACGGGATAACTGAAGCCTGTGATATTTCTCAAATTTACTGACTCCCGGATATGATGTCAATTGGCTATTGCTTGGAAATTTCTTTTCATTACAGTCTAACTGTATGATATATTATGACATAAACAGAATACAGTTCCTTACCACATGCTGCTATGTCATTCATCTCCATCTAATCATCCTTTTTGTTGTTACTCTTCTGATGATTTTCAGCTTTTCCTTTCTGCAAATTGTATAGTTGTGTATAGCGATATGACCAAGCACCAAAAATACTATCAAAACACTGACCAGACTCCATTCTTCACGAAAGATGGATAAAAAGGCGCACATTAAACAAAAACAACAGGGAGATGCCGATTCGCATGGGACTAATATTATCACAGGACCTCTGTGTTCAGCGAAATGTAGTAGGTAATGTAGTAGGTAACGCAAAAAAAAAAAAAAAAAAAACGAGCGTGGGGAGGCGTGCCGTGTGGGTGCCGCTAACTAATCACTAACTAGCTTTTGCGTTGAGAGCATCTGGAAGCTGTGACATCCCAAAACAAACCATGGCTAACAATCAGATTCAGGCATACATTTTTGATCCTGAATCGGAACCCGAGGCCAAAATTGAAGACGAGCAGCAACGACTACAGCAGGACGTCTCTATGTGGTGTGTGAACTGTATAACTTACATTTGCTTAATGTTAGCGTTTTTTATAATTGACCAATTTTCACTTTATATCATTGTATTTTTTTTTCTTTATAAGCTGTACATGTGGGAAGTGTAGTTTGATGCCGACTGAGGCGGCAGTTTTTTTAAAAGCAGAAATGATTTGAACTTGAGTGTGTCTTTAGAACACCATGCCATGCGCGAGTTACAACTTACAATATTTGTGTGTTTGGTTTATGAGGATTATGATTGGTTTATGATTTGGTTTTAAAATAAACAAATACCTACAGTGGTCTGCTAAAAAAATGTATTTAAAGAACATTCTTGAACAAAATCCTATGCAGCGCTGCCGATGATTTCCTGTTGAAGCGCGTTGATGTGCACGTTTTTTTAGAGAGAAATGCTCATATAAGGAGTTCCACTCTCGTCTACGTCATTAGATCCACGATCGATAAAACAACAGCTGAAACTTGTACGGAAGCATGATTTTCTGCAAAGAAATTCTCCTTTTTAAAAAACTTTGGCCATGTTTAGCATCTCTTTAACACTGTAAACCTTTCTGAATACATGAAACACCATTGTACCCATTTATTTCATTTATTTTATGTGCACCATTTATTTCACCTCTAGAAGTTACTGTCATACTGTATAATGACAGCGGACCCTTCAGCAACTGACACAATGCAGAAAAAACGATTGGTATGGATTTTTGCCGTTTTGTTCCAACAATCAGAT